CTGGTGGAGAAGGAACAAGATGGGGAGAGGTGGTTAATCTTTGGGGAAATTGTTTGTGTTTTTTTTAAGTCTTCTTTTTCGTTTTTTTTTTTAAGGGGGGGAGGGTCTTTTTTCTGCGTTTCTGTTTTGGTCTTTCCCTTTTTTTCTGTCTTTATGTATTTTCTTTATTTTTTTTTCTTTCTTTGGGAGGAATTCTTCTTATTAATATCAGGTACGAAAAACCTTTTTTCTTTTTTGTTACGATTTTTACCATTTATTTATTTATTTACTTATTTTTCAATTCTTTCTCGTCTGTATACATCTATCCATCTACCTACCTACCTATCTATTTCCCTCATTTAGTATTATTTGAAACGTAACTCTCTACCCACATTCACGGACTAAGGGCGATGCAAAAAAAAAAAAAAAAAGAAAGAAAAATACTGAAGGACATAGAATATTTATTTTCAGAGGAAGGCTGGCATCTGAGAGAGAAAGGACTCATGATAGGTTATTATTTGACCTAAGATTCAGAGAGGACTATTATCTGACCTGAAAAAACAGATAACCTGAGTAGAGTAGAGACTTATAAACAATAGGAACTGAGGGTAACATAGATTTCACACTAGGAATAATTGATTATAGTTTGACGAGGGGAAACCAGAGCATATGCAGTAGAAAGCACTTTTGGTATATGAAATGCACACGAAGGACAAGACAAGTTAGATTAACTTGATATATAGCTAATAACTGATGTTTTCTTTCTTTATTTTAGTTTTGTGGTGTACATTTCTACGTGTAGGTTTTTGTTTTGTATCTCTCTATATATATCTATCTCTATCTCTGTCTATCTATATATATCTATCTATATATATCTATCTCTATTTCTGTCTCTGTCTGTCTATCTATATCTCTCTCTCTCTTTTTCAGGTTTGTCACTACCAGTAGTATCAATAGTAAAATAAAGCAATATTAGTATGCATCTTAAAGAGAATTGTTGAAAAATGAATATAACTACGAAATAGTCATATCCGTATCAGAAAATAACAACAATAATAGGATGATCGACATTAGCCCAATAAAAAAAAATAGGAAAATAATGAAAAAAAAAGTATTCAGTCCGGATATGTTACGAAAAAGGAAAATTATGGAGCAGGGGCATGCGGAAAAAAGGTAGTCGCCAGATATTACTAAAAAAAATAAGAATAAACATATATATATTTTTTATTTACTAGTCCACAAAAAGACACAAGGGAGTTATATACCTAGGCAAGGTCACGGTCAGAAAGCTCGTTCAAACAGGTTTCGAAATTTTGTCTCGAACAACTATAAATACTAGCTTTTTTGTTGTTGTTGTTGTTGTTGTTGTTGTCCGTGACTGTACGTCCTTTTATCTCGAGGGTCTGACGTCGAATAAAGGTAATTCTTAGGATTTGTTATTATTATTGTTTTATTGTGCGTTAGGGATTTAGTTAACGATGGGTTTATGTTGTTTTTCCTGTTTAGTTAATGTTATGGCCAGCATTGTGATTGTTAATATCATTAGATGAAATAAAGTCAGGACATTGACATCTGCCAGTGTTCATTTTATAAACATTTAAGAGATTAGTTTCTCTTCTCTCTCTCTCTCCCTTCCTCTCTCCCTCCCTCTCTCCCTCCCTCTCTCCCTTCCTCTCTCCCTTCCTCTCTCCCTTCCTCTCTCCCTTCCTCTCTCCCTTCCTCTCATCCCTCCCTCTCTCCCTCCTCTCCCTTCCTCTCTCCCTTCCTCTCATCCTCCCTCTCCCCCTCTCCCTCCCTCTCCCTCCCTCTCTCCCTCTCTCTCTATAAGATATACTCCTAGCTCAAGGCCAGGTACCATCCGTACAGAGCCCGAATTCAAATCTCCCGTGAGGCAGGAGAGGCTTAGGGACTAGGTGAGAATTAAAGTTAGCGGACCCGTTCACTCCTCTTGAAATGAGACAACAATAACTCCTTTGAAAAATCTGACAGTGCTGTGTTTACCCTTCTCTAGTGGCCTTCCACTGTAGTGATAGTAGCAATAGTAGTAGCAATAGCAGTAATGGCAGTAAAAAGATCAGTAAAAGTATGGCAAAAGTAGAGTAGAAAAAAATGTAAAAAAAAAAAAAAAAAAAAAAAAAAAAAAAAAAAAAAAAAAAAAAACAGTAAAAAGATCAGTAAAAGTATGGCAAAAGTAGAGTAGAAAAAAATGTAAAAAAAAAAAAACAGTAAAAAGATCAGTAAAAGTATGGCAAAAGTAGAGTAGAAAAAAATGTAAAAATAAAAATAAAATAAAAAAATAGTATTTGAGATGAGTATCACTGGATTTAGGTTTTTGGTTATTTCAGCGTCATCTATGTAAAATATGTTAATTGCCTTCATTTATGCTTAACACAAAGCCAACGGGCATGACGTGTACGTGTAAGCCATACCAACTGTGAGTTTACTTGTTTGATTGTTTTTTTTTTTTTTTTTTTTTTTTTTTTTTTTTTTTTTACATATAGATGGCTACATTTGTACTAAGTCTCCAATGAGCCAATTACGAGTACTGCCTGTCTCGCCCGTTTACCCTTTTCTTTGATTCACGAAAATAGTTTACGTTATTTTATTTTGCTGTTACTGATGTTTATAACATTATAGTAATTATTATGTTTATAAAAAAAAAAAAAAAACAGTAAAAAGATCAGTAAAAGTATGGCAAAAGTAGAGTAGAAAAAAATGTAAAAAAAAAAAAACAGTAAAAAGATCAGTAAAAGTATGGCAAAAGTAGAGTAGAAAAAAATGTAAAAAAAAAAAAACAGTAAAAAGATCAGTAAAAGTATGGCAAAAGTAGAGTAGAAAAAAATGTAAAAAAAAAAAAACAGTAAAAAGATCAGTAAAAGTATGGCAAAAGTAGAGTAGAAAAAAATGTAAAAAAAAAAAAACAGTAAAAAGATCAGTAAAAGTATGGCAAAAGTAGAGTAGAAAAAAATGTAAAAAAAAAAAAACAGTAAAAAGATCAGTAAAAGTATGGCAAAAGTAGAGTAGAAAAAAATGTAAAAAAAAAAAAACAGTAAAAAGATCAGTAAAAGTATGGCAAAAGTAGAGTAGAAAAAAATGTAAAAAAAAAAAAACAGTAAAAAGATCAGTAAAAGTATGGCAAAAGTAGAGTAGAAAAAAATGTAAAAAAAAAAAAACAGTAAAAAGATCAGTAAAAGTATGGCAAAAGTAGAGTAGAAAAAAATGTAAAAAAAAAAAAACAGTAAAAAGATCAGTAAAAGTATGGCAAAAGTAGAGTAGAAAAAAATGTAAAAAAAAAAAAACAGTAAAAAGATCAGTAAAAGTATGGCAAAAGTAGAGTAGAAAAAAATGTAAAAAAAAAAAAACAGTAAAAAGATCAGTAAAAGTATGGCAAAAGTAGAGTAGAAAAAAATGTAAAAAAAAAAAAACAGTAAAAAGATCAGTAAAAGTATGGCAAAAGTAGAGTAGAAAAAAATGTAAAAAAAAAAAAACAGTAAAAAGATCAGTAAAAGTATGGCAAAAGTAGAGTAGAAAAAAATGTAAAAAAAAAAAAACAGTAAAAAGATCAGTAAAAGTATGGCAAAAGTAGAGTAGAAAAAAATGTAAAAAAAAAAAAAAAAAAACAGTAAAAAGATCAGTAAAAGTATGGCAAAAGTAGAGTAGAAAAAAATGTAAAAAAAAAAAAACAGTAAAAAGATCAGTAAAAGTATGGCAAAAGTAGAGTAGAAAAAAATGTAAAAAAAAAAAAACAGTAAAAAGATCAGTAAAAGTATGGCAAAAGTAGAGTAGAAAAAAATGTAAAAAAAAAAAAAAAAAAAAAAAAAAAAAAAAAAAACAGTAAAAAGATCAGTAAAAGATCACTAAAAGATCAGTAAAAGTATGGCAAAAGTAGAATAGAAAAAAACTGTAAAAAAAACAGTAAAAAGATCAGTAAAAAATAGAGTAAAATGGTTAGTAAAAGTATAGTAAAGAAAAGTAAATGTTCATTAAAGATAAAACCGTAAATAAAAGGCAAACGCTCAGTAATAAAAGTCCCGAATAAGTTAAGCTACTTTGGTACTTATATACACTGTTAAAAGACTAAGAAAGGTAAAATAAAAATAAAAAATAAAAAAATAGTATTTGAGATGAGTATCACTGGATTTAGGTTTTTGGTTATTTCAGTTTCATCTATGTAAAATATGTTAATTACCTTCATTTATGCTTAACACAAAGCCAACGGGCATAACGTGTACGTGTATGCCATGCCAACTGTGAGTTTACTTGTTTGATTGTTTTTTTTGTTTTTACCTATAGATGGCTACACTTGTACTAAGTCACCAATGAGCCAATTACGAGTACTGCCTGTCTCGCCCGTTTATCCTTTTCTTTGATTCACGAAAATAGTTTACGTTATTTTATTTTGCTGTTACTAATGTTTATAACATTATAGTAATTATTATGTTTATTAAAAAAAAAAAAACACCATCGATATTCATAGCACTATTTTTTTTCCACCAATTTAAATCAGGTAGGTCACAAGATCGACTAATTGACTCTTTTGTGGCTAAGCACTAGTCATTTTCCCCCTCTATGTACAGAGACATTTCACAAAAAAAAATAAATACATATAAGAAATGAGCACAGTATTTTCCCCATTTTTTATTCATTTCCCCCGGCGGCATTGGGTTAAGACGTCCAGCATTTTTAATAAACCTAGGCAAGTAAACAAGAGCTAGTACAACCTTTAGTGTCGTTTCGCAGAGAGAGGGGGGGTTGTGGCACAAACAAAGTTCCAATTGACACTGTTTATTTGTTCCATTCCCGGGAACTCGTGACGTCACAACACAGTGAATCATTTTTCTTTTCAAAATAAAATCCAATAAAATACATACTGTTCTTGAAATTATTTATACAACATAAAAAATATCAAAATCATTAATAAAAAGCTATAAAAAAACAAGAACTAAAAGAGTTTACGAATAAATTAAAAACATACTAAAATCATAAAATAGTAAAATTAAGACCCGTGAATTTATAAAACA